TGCCGAACACCTGCCCAAAAGTCATGTGAATCAGCCATCTTGAAAGGAGGCCCTATGCCTCCGTCAGTCCTTCAGCACCAGCCAGCATCCTGACTGTAACCCCAAGAACCAACAGTAATATTTTGGGCTTCAAGGTCCACAGAGTCTCTATCATAGCTATTCAACTCTGATGGTGCAGAGTGAATGCAGTTATAAACAGAGCACGTAGGAAGAATTATAGACGGCTCTGAAAACTTTCACGGGTGCTAAAATTTTAATTCATGTACTTTCCATGTGTCATGAAATATTATTAGGATATTTTCTTTTAAATATATTTTATTTAATATTATTTTTATTTTATGTGTATGAATGTATTGTCTGCATGTATGTAGGTGCACCCATGTCTTGCAATACCCACAGAGGTCAGAAGATCCCCTGGAACTGGAGTCACGAACAGTTGTCAGCTGCCATGTGGTGCTGGGATTTAAACCCGGGTCTTCTGCAAGGACAGCCAGTGCCCTTAACTGCTGGAGCCATCTTTCCAGCCCCATCCTTGGATATTTTCAATCGCCAATATTAGGTTTCAACTGTACAAAAACAGGTGACAGGTATTCAACCAATCTTGTCACCTCACTGCCCCACTGCCCTATACCTGGGAAAAATCTGTCCTGTTACCAGCTTTAGCCAAGGGTACAAAAGGGGAATCTGCCGTCCTTCCCATCCCAGTGTACATGCACACATTATATCCAGATAGACAGAGTAAAAGAAATCTCGTATCCTACTTATTTCTCTGCTGAGTAGTCCTGCACTGATTTCAGTTATGCAATTTTCAAGCCAGTTTTATAAGATAATCAGAACACAAATTATGAAAGGTATTGTTTATAGGGGAGAACGGAAGTTGTAGAGGTACATCTCACTCACTTTCCTTCAGATGCAGAGCACCCACACAGATAAGAAAATAACATCTCTCCTTGAGGCTCCCCAGAGAGCAAGACCCACAAAACAAGCCTCCGCACATTCTCTCCAGCCTCCTGTTCCAGCAGGAGCCCCTCATGTTCGGTCCTTGCCCATTCCTCTCCAGCCGTGTTGTGTGGCTTGGCAGCCTTATTTTATTTACTTATTTTTGGCACTTGTTGGTGACAATGCCTAGTCACAAGCCATTCCCTCCTTGATTTTTACTTTGTTCTATCACATCTCCAGATTTTTTTCCCCTTTGAGAATCTAAATATGATGGGTCATGCAAGTTCACCAGCTCAGCAACAGTTGTATGTTCCAGTTAAACTTGGGCTGCAGGAAATAACTTAAGACTCCTTAGACCCTGGCCCAGGGTCTTTTCACTGTTCACATGGAAGCTTTTCAAATTATGTAAAATATGTGGGGAAAGTCATATCTCAGACTCTCCTACCCCTGACTCTGCCTCTCAGAACACAGGCTGGCAAGGAGGCAGAGCCATAAGCCAGGCTTCCCTGGTAACTAAACCTCTTTGATTGTTTTGTTTGTTGATTGTTGCTACCTACCATGCTGTGTGAGAAGGTGCTATTATTCTCTTACCTTTCCTAGTTGTGAGTAAAGGAGAGAAAAAAAAAATCAATCTCGGGCTGGAGAGACGACTCAGCAGTTAAGAACACTGGCTATTCTTGCAGAAGACCAGGGTTTGAATCCCAGCACCCACATGGCAGCTAACAACTCTCTGTAACTCCAGTTCCAGGGGATCTGACACCTTCTTCTAACCTCCGCTGGCACTGCACAACACAGATACACTTACATGCAAGCATAACACTCATACACATAAAATAAAAATTAATTAATTAATTAAAAAACCCTCTCTCTTACTAGGTATATTGCAGGATCACCCAACAATTTGGTGACCAAGTTAACAGTCTTTTAAGGGGAGAAAACTAAAAATTAACAATTCATGCTTAGCAATTAACTGACACAATAATTCAAGGAGGTCTTTCTTCACCTGCTGCCTTTGGCTCTAACTCTTTTCCAAGAACACACCTTTGCATATTTATAGACTTAAAAAAATGACAAGTTAATAACATGATAACTCTCATAACAATAGAGAATGTCATCTACCAGGTGGCCAAAATCAGAAGCTGATTCGAGGCAATGATTATCATTATTACTACATGTTATTAGGCAGTTGAAATATTTTCTAGTATATTTATAACTGACCTATTTCTTTTTTCCAAAAATAAGCAAAGTAATACAAAACAAAGGTCACAAATAGAATGTAGGCTAATTACGGAGCTTTGAGGAATATTGCCGTAGCTAAAAGCCAGACTTTAAACAGCCCAGAGTTCTACATGCCAGCTAAGCCACAGGAAACCCACCAGAAGCACTTGTTTTAACAAATTGACAAAGCCGGTCAGCTGCCCACAGTGGATACAGAATCTATCTATCTACAATAGGGTCTCAGGAAGGACCTGGTAAAGGCTTAACTGGGAAAGAAATGCAATTCTGACCTAACTTCAGGACTTCCCTGTCCATTGTGACAGATTTGGAAGACAGTAATCTGACAGGATTTTTCTGCTTGTTTGTTGCTTTGGGGTCCTTTGTTCCTTTGTTTTCAAAGAGAATGATTAGTAGGATCAGTGGAAACCAAGGCCCCTTATCAAAGTGAGGCAGGTGACCCTGAGAAGCTGGCCAGCCTCACTGTTTGGAGATCTGCCTGTTTCTTCCAGGGGAGAGGGGACAAGCACAGAGAATGCAGTCTACCAGCCACGTACCACGTACACCACGTGAACATCTCTTCTCCCTGCAACCCTGACCTTTGTCTATACCAGTCACTGCTGAGAAATGTCTACAAAAACAGGCCGGTGCACTTTTCATGACACTCGTCCCCAGAGAAGGAAGCTAACTTGGTACTTACAGGGGGGTTTTCCTTAAAAAATAAATGGCAGGAGTGGTGCGATGAGGAGGAACTGTCTAAGCAGAACCAACATAAGCTGAGGGAAGGGAGCAGAGGCAGAATGAACACCCACACTTATACCATGCTAATGCTAAGCTAGGCATCCCCCTAACTGCTTTACATGGTCCATTCTTGAGTCTCCCACAGTAACCTCCAGGGGTAGGTCCTAACCCTGTCCTTATTTTATTGATAGACAACAAAGGTGCCAAGAAGTTCAACTGGTAGCAAGAAAGTAGCAATGTCAGGATTTGATCCCAGACCCACTGGCTCTAAAGTCTGTGTTCCTGTCACCAAAGTGCACTGATGCAAACAACTGCATTCACACAGGAAACCAGCCCCTCATTCAAACTCTCACTTCCCACATCTGCACCAGGGATGTAATGATGCATTTCACATTGTTCCTGAAGAAACGGAGAATAGTGGAATGTGTCAACAGGGATTGGAGTGGAAGGGTCTCCCTGGAAGGGATGAGGTCCACTGTGAATCTTGAGCATGTGGCTGATAACCAGGTAGAGGCAAGGACGGGGCAGGGGAGGGGAGAGTCCACACAGGCAGGGGTGAAGTGTGTGCAAAATTTCAAGGCAGGAAGGAACCAGAATGTGGCCCTCTCATGGAATCATGCCCTGGCATTGCAGTTCCACAGGGGACACGGGGTGGGAACCCCGCAACGCCAAGGGAAGGCCAGAGAAAAAGGAGAGGGGAATAACGTCACGAAGAGTTTGTGGCTTTATCTGAAACTACTTCAACAAACAACTAAAGAATTTTATGCTAAGAAACAGAACAATCAGATCATTTTTCCTGATTCACTAGTGATTTTGGAAGGGATCATGACTGAAGAGAGCCAGGCATGAGAGCAGGGGACCAGTCAGAAATCTGTTGCTGAGTTTCACAACTGTCACAGGAGGTGGTTGGCAGGAATTATGTAGCCATGTGACCTGAGCAAAGGCAAATTTCCCCAATGGCAACGGACCAGATTGGAGCCACTCAGCTCATGCACCCCTGTCCTTCCCAGCAACATCCTAGAGCTGCATCTTCGATGATGTCCCAGTCTATCACTTTTCAAACCCTCTAAGGGCCTTTAAAATAATGAGGAACGGCACCTCTGGCTATTCAGAATCACAGCAGCACTTGGAGCCACACAAACACTCCTTAAAATCCTCATGTTAATCACCTGGTGATATTTTTTTTTCCTTTACTTATTAAAATCTCAGCCAAGGAGGTTTAAACTGTTAAGTGGCTTCTATAAGCTCCAAAGTATTTCTGGAGGATTAGGATTCAACACGCATACACATACTTCAGCGTATTAGCTCTAGCTTCCTGGGGTCTGGCCAAAGTTCTTGGTGTGAGCGACTGTTGGACTTTATCCACCGGTTTTTGAAGCCTTATAAAAAAAAAAAAATGTCTGTTTATGCTCAAAACTTCCTCTTCGTGCATCTACAGACCCTTTCAACAAAGAAATTGTGGCTCTCTTCCCACCAATAGAGAGGTGGGGAATACACACGCCACATAAGGGATGTTCAATCCCCAGCATCTTATATTCTTCCAAAGTAAATGCTAAAATGTTCAATAAACTCGATAACATGTCAATACATTGCCACTTTTCCACTTAATGCACTCCAGCCACTCAGTCAGAATAAATGACCTTTTTGCAACTGAAAACGTTGGCCAGCTCTGCACCTCTGGGAATTTTTTCACTTCAAGGATTAGGGCCTCCTTTGGCAAAAATCTTTTGAAGACCAGTACAGCGGGTGGTTTATTGTTTTCCCCTAATTCTTTAATAACCTCTCAACTAGAAGGGCCGGTTAGGATTTTCAAGACAAAGGACAGTGGAACGCTAGCCCTACATCCGCACTCCAATCCTCCTCCACCCCAACACACCTAGCTTCCAAACCTGCCGCCCCAAGGGGCCTGCTGCAGAACTCCATCTTTTCCGTGCGGGGGATGGAACTCGGAACCTCACGCAAGCTAGGCAAACACTGAGCTGCATCCTCAGCTCTAACTCTCAGTGAAGTCCTAGCTGTGGAAAGAAACCCTTGACAGTCTCCATTCTGAGGCCTAGACTTAGGATGGTAGAGGGGTCCTGGAACTTGGGGGATGCGAGATTTACCTTGACGAAGAGGGTGATGTCATGCTCCTGCCCGGGATCCCCTTCCTCTGATGCCTCGCCGTCCACCCTGGGGCCGTTCACTCGCTCCTCCTGGTTGCCGGCCCGGGAGCTGCGCTCCGCTAGGTGGTTGCTGAGCTCTGCCTGGGACTCGTCCTCCCTGGATTCGGCCGCCTCTCCATCCGGGCTGCCGTCGGGGGACTTCCCCTGTATCTCCTCCCCACCGGGTCCCTCCAAACCAGGCTCTGGCCTCTGCCCTTGCTCCCCGGCCTCTTCCTGGGGCTCTCCCTGGTCCCCATTCTCGCTAGCCTCTACCCTCTCCTCCTCAGTAGCTGCTTCCGGGGACCCTTCTGTCCCCGGGGCTCCGACTTCCCCTGCAGCATCCTCGGAGTTGTGTCCCCTGATCTCCGCAGCTGGGACCTCAATCGCCTCCGCCTGGGGCTGCGGGCTGCTTTCTCCTCCGCCTTGGGGCTCACCCTCTGGCGGGTGCTCCCCTCCGGGGGGTCCCTCGGCGTCCTGGACCTGCTCTGGGGGTCCCTGGGCTTCTATACTGATCTGCGCCGGGGACGCGCCGCCTCCCTGTGCCTCCATCCCCGGCTCTGCCTCCTGCTGCTCCTCCATCCCCGGCTCTGCCTCCTGCCGCGCCCCTGGCCTGGGCTCTGCCTCCTCCTGCGCCTCCAGAGCCACAGGGTCCCCCGGCTCCCCGCGATCGTCCCCCGGGACCTCACGGTGCGCGCCTACCCCCGAGCTCTGCTCGCACACCTGCTGAGCGCCGCCCGCCTCCTCAGCTCCCAGCCGGACCCCGGCGCCCTCCGGGTCGCGCTCCGCAGCCGCCTCCGCCTCGCCCTGAACTCTGCTCCTGCCCTCCGTCTCCGTCCCGGGGCGGGCCCCCGTGTCCAGCGCCTGCTGGTTCCCGATCCCTCCGTCCTGCCCGCCGCCTCCTTCCTCCTTCGCCGAGGCTGTGGCCTCCGCGCCCGCCCCTTCATCCCCCCGCGCCTCCGCAGCGCCCTCGCTGGCTTCCTGCCCCTCAGGGTCGCCAGCCCGGGGCTCTCCCGGTCCCTCTCCATCAATCGCAGCACCCTTGGGTGGCCCCTGGGGATCCGGAGCGGTCCCCTCGGGCTCCGCGACCTCGGCCATGGCGGGACACCCTTCTTCCATGGTGCTCAAGGGCTAGGGGCAGGGGCCTGCTGAGCCCCCTCCAGGAGTATGCCCGCTCCCGGCTCTGGGGGCGAAGGGTTTCACTTGGGGTGAATTCCAGTCGGCCCCAAGACGCTGTGTCCCTTCTCACTGGCTTAAGGTCTTTGGACTCTTCCTCTTCGGTTGGTGTTTCTTCCAAATCCGCAATCGTATTCCAGCCTTGACACGAGCGGGCCGCAGAAAAGCGGTGTAGGGCTGAAAAGGGCAGCCGGTCCCCTGCGTCCTTTGTAGTGCCAGACCTGCTACCTGCTGTGGCTAGAGGCTGACCAGAAGTCCTCAGAGCCAACGCCATCCCCTTAGAGATTGGGCGGGGTTTGTCTTCCCCACCTCCCGCCTGTTTGGGTGGCCTGGGAACCTGGCCAGGGATATTCTTTCTGTGGCTTTTGTGGATTTTAATGAAATGACTGGTTTTACTGACCACTTCGGTGTTTCCTGGAACAGCTTCAAGTTCCAGTGCCATTGAAATCACAAACACATATCCCAGACTCCCCCCTTACCCTGGAGGTGAAGCATTAAACTGCAGAATGTGCCCACCCGTGCCTCTTGTTCAACAGCAAAGCTATAAAGCCCAAAGGAAAGAGTCAGAAGGACAGCCTGCTGCTTCTCAGTTTCTGGGGTTCCTAAGGTCTAAGGCTAAACCCAAAAGGAGCCAGGTGGGCTGCTGTGACTAGAGCAGGAACTGCCTCTTCCTCTCAAGGCATGAGGAGTTTGGGGAGGCCTGCACTGGGAAGTTACATCCCTCACCTCCAGGGTCCCTGAAGATGCTAACAGTCTGTGTATCTTGTGGACTCGCTTAGATTTTCTTAACTCATGACCAGTGCCTTGACCTCAGTGTTGTAGTGTGGACTTGGGGAGCTGGAAGTAGGGAAAAGAGGGGAGCTGTGGAATTCACTGGGCAAGGAATCTTCCAGAATCACCAGCCAGAAGCCTTTTCCTTAAGAAAAAACAAAAAGAAGTTACATTCTTAAAGAACAAACACCAATTCTTCTCAAACTATTCCACAGAATTCAAAGGGAGGGAACCCTCCCAAACTTGTTCTATGAAACTGGCATTACCTTCTTATGAAAATCAGACAGGGCATAACAAATGACACACCAATATTCCTGATGGATGTAGATGCAAAACGTCCCAACAAAACACTAATGAATTGAGTTCATCAGCATATCACAAAGATCATTCACTATGATCAAGCTGTTTTCTCTCCAGGGATGCAATTACTATTCAGCAATGCAAATGAATAGAAGCAGTTCATCTCCTCAACAGAATGAGGATTTAAAATATGTTCAGGGGCTGGAGAGATGGTTCAGTGGTTAAGAGCACTGGCTACTCTTGCAGAGGACCTGAGTTTGAATCCCAGCACCCACATGGTGTCTGTGGGCACTGCATGACACAGATATGCAGACAATACATTCATACACATAAAATAAAAATAATAAATAAAATAAAATACCATGTTCATCTCAATAGATGCAGAAAAAAGCATTTGATGGTGTTGAACATCCCTACACAATAAAAGCCTTGAAATTTTTATATAGAAAGGATAATATTTCAACACAATCAACATAATAAAGGCTATATTTTTGATACAAGGTCTCACATAGTACAGATTGGCATCGAACTCTATTTAGTTGAGGATGGCCTTGAAGCTGTGAACCTCCTGCCTCCACTGAGATTACAGATGTGCACCACCATGCCCAGTCTTTAATGCAATGCTGGAGATTGAACTCAAGACTTTGAAACATGCCGAGTGCCCAAAAGGCACTCAGAAGGGCACTGTGTAAATGTGGTTGGTCAGTAGGGATTCCAGCTCAAGAGTGATCTGGCTTATCGAGCTCTTGAGAGTTTTATCCTGTCCAAAAACACTTTAGCCATCACATCTAAAGGTTTCTATTGTTACAAGTGGGGTGTTGGTATACTTGGCTATTCATCTGAATGCTTCCTTCTAGTCCCCATTGCCCATCACTGATGGATGGCTGATGCTGTGGTTTGAACGTGTCCTGGAAAGTTCATGTGTTAGAAACTTAATCTTGAACTTCACATGTTGGTAATATTTCAAGGTGACCTTTGGAGGTTATTTAAGGTTAGATAAGGTCATCCAAGTGAGAGACTTCCTGGGATTTTAGTGGCTTTAGAAAGGGGAAGGGAAAACTGTGCTAGGTCATTCTCATTCTCTCTCTCTCTCTCTCTCTCTCTCTCTCTCTCTCTCTCTCTCTTTCCTCTTGTTCCCTCACCCTTTCTTCCTCTCTGTCTATGTAAGGTCTTGCACCACAAGACAGCAAACAGGCCTTCATCAGATATCAACACTTTGATATTGTCCTCCCCAGCCTCCAGAACTGTGAAAAATAAATTTCTTGCCTTTATTAATTACCCATCCTGTGGTCTTCTGTCACAGCAGCACAAAACAAAGATTACAGGACAGGAGCCCAAGGACACCCAGTTTCCTATCACCTTCCTCCAAGGTTGAGCCCGACCTAGGAAGGAACAGCATAGAAGCCACATCATTGAGTAGATGATGACAGAAAACAACTACTCAAACCCTGGCACCCACACAGGTGAGATAGATGGAAATGTCAGACAGACAATCCCTAGGAGGCTCCAGGCACCTAAAACCAAAATCCTGCTACATTTACCAGAGCAAGAAAACATTCAGCAATCAACTTTGTCTCGAAAAGATGGATGAAGTTAGCAATTAGACCCAAATAGTAGATGGGTTTATATTCCCTATGTAAGTCTTATAAGACCAGCTGTATTAGAGAAAACATAATTCTGAGAAAAAATGATCACGTGTTCTCTTACACTGTATAACACACATGGCCCACTACCCTGTGATCAAACATGGTGATAATTCCTCAGTGACACAAATGAATAGCACCATTAGGTAAGAAATGTAAAAACTAGGGGCTGAGATGGCTCAGCATGTAAGAGGACCAGCTGTGCAAGGAAGGACCTGAGGTTGAATCCCCAGGGCTCACCTAAAAAGTTGGATGTGGCCATGCATGAACCTGTAACCCCATTGCTATGGGGGCGTAGAGAGAGGAGAGAGGAGGATCCTTGGGCCTTGCTACCAGTCTCTTCAGGTTCAATGGGAGACCCTGTCTCAAAGAAATACCGTAGAGAGTGATAGAGCAGGACAGCCAACATCCTCCTCTGGCCTCTGTACACACACAGATACAGACATACAGACACACACACACACACACACACACACACACAATGTGTGCATACTGCACATGTGCATATATGACACACATAGGCCAAAAACATGCATACACACAGGTGAAATATAAAAAATTATACATAACTTCAGGACTACCCTCATTCCATTTAGGTTCAGATCACACTGGTTTGCTTCTAGATGAGTTCTCGCCAAAGCTTGAAGTAGTCAAAGCTATTTGGGATTTTTGAATGTAGATAAGGAATTGTGGAGCTTGTGAACCACTGGAGGACTCTAGGTAGATGTGTTTGAACTGTTTTTGAGGCTAGGGACGGGAGAGATGGCTCAGCAGTTAAGAGCACTGGCTGCTCTTGCAGAAGACCTGGATTCAATTCCCAGCACCCACGTGGTGACTGACAACCCAGTCATCAGTAACTCCAGTTCCAGGAGATCTGATGCCCTCTTCTGACCTCAGTGGGCATTGCATGACACAGATGCACTTACATACATGCAGGCAATGCACTCATACACATAAAATAAACTTTAAAAAAAGAAAATGTGAGACTAATTACATGTGAAACTTTGTTCTTAATAGCAAGCCAACATTTGCCAATCCTTTCACAAAGCAAAACATTAAAGGTACATACTTATGTGGATAGTGACATTCAATAAACTTTAAATCAAACAAATCAGGTAGAGATGTCCTGATAACAAGCAGGCTATTGCCTCAAGGAAACTGTTGAATTGTTTACAGAGCTGGCAGAGCCCTAGGCAGGGCTGTTGCCTGGTGGTTTGGAGTTAGTCCTGGTTGCGTCCTTGTAGAGAAGCAAGGGTAATGAAGTCCATTTTATTGGGTCAATTGGCCCTGCATACACAACCTGCTTTATTTTGTAGGCTTTGGATTGATTTATTCACATTGGTATTGACTTTCAAAATAATATACTGCCTAGCGAATGTAGACTTTCACCTTTTAGTAATATTTTTAGTACTTTTAAATTTATAGTACACAAGTTTGCATTTTTAAATTTTCTGTAAGTTTATTTTTAATCGAGCATAGGTTCAATGATGAAAATATGGACATCAGGAAATAACTTTTTTGTAATTCTGTTGCTTATAATTAAACATTTTCTTTCTCTCAGATTGTTCTAGATACTGGGTATACATCAATGAACAGAGCTGAGAATGACTCCTCCTTAACAGTGCTTTTGAGATAGAGCAAGAGATAATTATGTAAACAATGAAATCAGGTAACTTTGAATAATATTGAGCTTTATATAGATATCAATACTAACATGTAAACACATATACACTTAAAACCTTAGCTCCTCTCATATCCAACAGGCCAATAAGTTGTGTTTATTTTTTATACTTGAAGAACATGTTATTTTATTTCTTTAATGATGCAAAACACAAATGCTGATTTGACTGATCATATTCACACAGTTTCTTTCATATCCACAACTTGATAGGTGAATCCAGAGGCCCTGTCAGGATCATTTTATGGAGCGTGCTATGTTAGTATTTTCCAAAACGCATTCCAGTTCATCTCTTGTTTTATACTCCATAACATCTTCATGATGCTGTTTGATGAGACTGAAGCACAGGAATCCACGGTGCCCAGAGTTTTCAGCCAGTGACTCCTGGATGCAGAACTCTGACCAGACTGAAGAGCCACTATGTAGCTCAGGGGTCGTGAGGCGGGGACCAGAAGCAGCAGGGATGGCGCCATCTTATCCATTGGGACCAAATGATGCTGATATTGATCTCAGAGTCATACTGAGACTCACCATTCTAGTTCTTCATAGATCATAAATTCCTTATAACTGCTGTCTTTATAAATTCAAAATGGAAAGTATTACAATCAGGTGCAGTCTCACATTCCCTGGAATTACTAAGAACAAGGAGGGTTCTGTTATGCTGCTCAGACTGGTCTTGAACTTCTTAGCTTCATGGATCTTCCTTGCTTTAGTTCTGAGGTGCTGGGATTATAGGCATAGGCCACTGCATCTGGCCTATCTTATCATACAACGATGCTGATTCCAAGAAAGTAATGGGTTCTCATTAACAATACCTGGACCAGACCCAGG